AATGATTTCCCACCACAAAGTCTGGGTAATTTTTGAAACATCCATAGTACCCTTTGGATAGGGAAAAATGCACATGTGATGTTTTCAGCTGCTAGGACAAAGGTTCATATTTTTCTAGTAAGTTTCATGTGTTAGTTTGTTGAACGGTTTTTCTGAACAACTTAACACCCACGACTCCTTGCTTTTTTGTTTCTTTCTTTAGAGGATCCGTGACTTAGAAGATAAAACAGACATTCAGAAAAGACAAATAAAGGATTTAGAAGAAAAGGTATGTGTGTTGAGTTCAATATCTATTTTATTCTCTGTTCAATCAGAAAGTAATATTGACTGTGCTCACTGCATTCGCTTTGTGATTTCTCAGGCACTGTGTGTCTCGCAGAGGCAGTTGTAGTGACTGTAAACACAGCCTTCACCTTCAGTCAGGCACCAGAATTCCAGCAAAGGCTCTGAACACCAGTAACCTAGCCTTGGCATGTTCATCTTTTGTGTTGATTTTTTTATTCTCTCCTGTGTTTTCTCTCTCCATCTTCATTTTCTTTCCAAAAGTTTCTTCTGAGTTTGGGTACTTTACTTTGCTCTTTCTTTTAAAGATCTTTTTAGCACCTTTTAAAAATGTTTCCCATTCTTATTCATTAAAAAGACCTTGCATCCTTGTGCTTCTGTTTCACCACAATAAGTTCCAAAACTTAGGTTGACCCATGACAAAGAGGGCCTCCTCTCACTTCCCCAGTGGTGAGGAGAGTGATCGCTTCTTCCAAGTCAGCCAGTGTTGGAAGAGCAAGACACAGTGGTTCTTAGAAGGCACTGGGGAATGTGGGTGGGTGGGAGAAGGGACAGGCCAGGATACTAACAATGCACCAGACAGTGCTGCGTGACAGAGAAGTGTCCTGCCCTAGACACGGATCACCCAGCAGCACACAGCAAGAGTGGCAGGGAGGGTTTGTCTGGCATTCCAATCTGATTCACTCGAAGTAACTACCCAAGTCCCTGTATTGAAAAGGGAGATGGTTGTTTTTCAGTATCTTCCGTGAGCACACGCAAAGAAAACAGCAAACCGTCTGCCATTCCTGACACGATGGTTAGAACTGGGTTCATTTCACATTGCTTCTATAGTTATTCATTCAAATGTGTGAGGTCAGAGGGAGTTGGTGGGGTCTAATAGCCAGATCACCAGGCATCCAGATTCCTGTACAGGTGGGTCTCCAGGGGCTCTTCCGACCTTGGGTAAGTGCTTGCACCTCCTATGTCTAAGCCATATCTACAAAACAGAGATGATAATATTTGCCCTTACCTCTTCTCATGGGTTCCATGAGGAACAAGTGAACTCAATTCTATGAGAATTAGCAAAGACTAAGTATAAGTCAAATTAGAAGTATAATTTTGAAATTCCCACCTGTCAGGTACACATCCTCTGCAAAATTTTACGTTTCAATTTCCCTCGTTTCAGAAGTAAGCTATTTGGTTCTGGGGAATTGATGGAGACAAAGGTAAAGTGTTTATTAAACCAAGGACTGAGTCTGATTTCCCACTGATTGGAAGGAAGACCTACAGGAGACAGGGATTAGTCCCAGCTTCCCTGGTTGTCACAGACCATACTGGAAGTCTTCCATTTTCCACACTTTTGAATGGCCAGATCTTGGTCATTCCCTCTGCTAATTCAGAAACTGCCCTAAGGCCGACTCAAAGAGATGTCAGACTAAGGCAGTTGTGCCCCCAAAACTTCATGATATCATTCAGTCCCCATTCCGCTGAGGTTTAAAAAACACAAAAGAGGGAGAGGGAGACATTTTTTATACTTATTAATGTCACCATCCTCGCCATTCTATACATAAATCCCATGGAAATTTGGGGGGAGGAGAAGTTAAGATTATGGTCACCGTGAGAATTCAGTGTGAACTTTTTTCACAATTCTTTTGTCCAAAATACAAACAGGGCTGAACTTCCTAAACATTTATGATTAAGGGATAATATACATAACAGAAACAAGGACTCTCTAGTTATCAAAGCTGCATATTTCACATATTGTAACAAATTAAACCACTTCAAAAACAAGTCAGTTGATTTCGGATTAGAGATTGGACTGAGAGGTGAGGTTTACAACTCATCTTCATTCACTTGACTTTAATTCTACTTGCCTTCAAGCTGGTTGAAAAAAGCTAAAGATCCCTTTGTCAGGGATGCTCCTCGTTCTTTCCCTCCAGGTACTTGAGCCCCCAACTTACCTTGCAGTGTCCCTTCTTAGATGCCCATCTTCATGCTCACAGTGTTAATCAGGGGGTAGCAAAATAGCTTCAGCTATCCAACTATACAGCACGTCACCATGTCCAGAGCACTTCCATTGCCATTATCTCATTTGATCTTAAGTATTCTATAAGACAGATACAGCAGACATTATGATCCTCTTTTATGTAGATAATATGTAGGTCACTACAAAAGTTTTGTGGCCAACTACTGTGTTATGGGCCATTATTTCACTTCCAAAAAACACTGACAGTGTCTTTCCTTTTTTCTTTTTTTCTTTCTTTCTTTTTTTATTTTTTCCTTTGGAGACCAGTCTCACTCTGTCACTTGAGCTAGAATATCATGGCATCAGCCTACCTCCCAGCAACCCAAATTCCTGGGCTCAAGCAATCCTCCTGCCTCAGCCTCCTACATAGTTGGGACTAAAGGTGCCCACTCCACACCCAGCTATTTTTTCTTTTTTTGCGACAGTACCACTCTTCCACCCTGTGTACAGTGAGTGCTGTGGCATCATAGCTCACAGCAACCTCAAACTCTTGGACTCAGGCAATCCTCTTGCCTCAACCTCCCCAATAGCTGGGACTACAAGCTCCCACTACAATGCCCGGCTAGTTTTTCTATTTTCAGTAGTGACGAGATCTCGCTTTTGCTCAAGCTGGTCTCAAATTCCTGAGCTCAAGGGATGCTCCCACATCAGCCTTTCAGAGTTACAGGATTATAGGCTTGAGCCACCACACCACGCCAACAGCCTCCTTTCTGATTCCCCTGTGCATTGACCCACCGCACCAGGCCACAGCCTCCTTTCTGATTCCCCTGTGCATTGAGCCACCGCACCAGGCCACAGCCTCCTTTCTGATTCCCAGGTGCAAGTTTCAGCTTGCTCAGGTTGTCTGTTTTGCTGGGAGGGCTTCATTTGTTTCTGTTCACATGGATTTTATGTTTCTTGAATTTTATGTATCTCAAAACTTTCGTAATGACCCACATAACACAATGGCTCAAAGAAATCAAATAACCTGCCCAGGATTATATAACTAATCTATGGTAAATCAAGATCAGAGAAGTCAGGGTGTCTGACTTTAAGTGCCATGGTCTGTGCCCTACACTGCAGGACTGAGAATCTCATTGCAGACTAAGTGAGGGGCACCGCCTCATGCCCAGAGAGGTAGCTCTGATGTCTGATGGTCTCACAGGAATAAAAGGGAAACCTTCTATCCCTTTCCTTGAGCTTCTCCTACTGCAGTTAATGTCTTTAAGAAATGAAAAAAAGGGGGCGGGACAGAGTTTCTGCCTTTCAGAACAATAGACCAGTACATGGCTTTTAGCACACTATTTGTAACTTATTTATAGAATTTGCCACACTGAAGCAGTGGCATCAAAGGAAATACGCAAATAGCACGCACACAAACCTTGTCCAAAAATATGTCCTGATTCTGCAAAAATAAACCATAAAGGAAATCAGTTATCTTTTAAAAACTGACCTGACCTGTGATCTTTTATAATCCACATACAGTTAGTTATATGCGTAGATCAGGGCTATACAAGCATGAGTTTGTCCATTCAATTATCTGCTTTTCTAGCAAAGGTTCTTAGTCAAGAGAGACTTATCAGACTTCGTAAAGAGATGTCTATCTCAGAGACTAGCACATAAACCAAATAATGATAGCATTGAGTGATTAAGTGTATGTTCTGATCATCTTTTGTGGTTTTGAAATACCTTCCTAGACATGAAAGATGGAGAGAATGACACATAATGGAGTAGGACTCAGGACATCCAAGCGCCAGCCCTCACAGTGCTTTGAAGTTGTGTAGAATTAAACAATTGGTTTACTTCTCTGTGCTTAGTTTTCTCATCTATAAAATTAAGAGCTTAGACCAGTTATCTGTAAGAGCCCCTCAATAATTCTAAAATGTATGAATCAGTGTTAGCTGAACATTACCATTGCTGTCAGTAGACACACAAAAAGTATGAATTTTTTAAATAAAAACGTAATTAATGTGTATGTGAGAAGGGGCCAGACTTGAGAGATGTGGAAAAGCTAAGGTTTTGTACTACCTGAATGACACTATAGAGATTCAGATTTACATAATCTTCTTCTTTTTCTTCTGCAGTTTCTGTTTCTATTCTTGTTCTTCTCTCTTGCCTTTATTCTATGGCCTTGATGTCAAGGTGCCTCTTAAAGGTAAGATTCCATTTAATTCTCAAACTGTGGTTCTCAGAGGTATTTGATAAGAAGGATGCTGTATATAGTTACTATGCTGTGCTTTTTAAAAAACAAATACTTGGTTTGGTTAGCTTAAATGCCATAGAATGAGAAACAGAGACAATCTATTTGGGTGATTGTAAAAGAAATAAAGAAACTATGAAGTGTGTTGAGTCTCAAGAATATTGTCCAGGTAACTGTATTACTTTGGGAACTCACAATGTTGGTGGACCCTAGTATTCTCATCATAATTTCCCAGAAAAAAGTTGCTTCTGTAAAAGGAAAGTAAAGAAGAACAGAAATATGACTTTACCTTTAGTATGGCTTTCAGCTTGAAAGTTCTGACTCTGGGAATCTAACAAGGTAATAATGATGGCAATTTTCAATCCTTTTCTCTAGTCTGTCTTCATCCCAACTCAGGAAAGCAGGCTAATTAAATGAAATTGAATCTTTTTTACTACAAATGACTTCTCAAACTCAATTCTAAAAAAAAGAAAATCTTAGACTATTATCAAGTCCATGACTCATAAATATGGACATAAATAATCCTAGCCAGTGATTCCCAATGTTTAAAAATATAGATTCCCCAGGCCCTGCCCTAGCCTCACTGAATCAGATCACTGGAAATGGAGGTAATACAGAGAGAAAGGGAGAGAAAGAGAACAAGAACTGTCGGGATTTAACTAACATGTCAGGTGATTCTGATGTTCAGCCAGGTATGGAAACCACTAATTTTTGACCACTGTTAAAAAATAAAGAAAAGCTAGCTGCCCTTCTGAGTCCATTTATCTTGGTCCTTGTTATTTTATTAGCCTATCAAGTTATATTATGTAGATATATTTCCTGGACCCTATTGTAATGAACATTTCCGATAGCAAGTTGAAGGTGGATGAGACACACTTTTTCCTTTTGTGGGTATCAACTCTATAGATACAGATAAGTGTGGTACCACTAGTGGTATCTACTGGTACAGATCAGTAAAAACGCTTTAGCGCGACCTGGTACAAGGAAAGAGTTAAGCAGATATGCCCAGAACGTTTATGTCTTCTTGTAACCAACTCTTTGGCTTCATTTCCTCTTCCAAAAGATTTTCTTCTCAGACTAGCATCTATCTGTTACCTGGCAAGAAGGGTGATAACCATGCAACACACACAGAAGAGAAGACTGACTCTTTTAAACGGAATGAGAAAATGAAATGAGATTCTCAAGGAAAGGATCAAAATGGGCAAATATCAGAAAACGAATGGCGTTCATTGCCCCCCACCCCAAAAATAAATAAACAGGGTAACTAAAGTTCAGGAACAGACAAGTATGATATGTGGATTAGTGAAGAAAAATCAAACCTTACAAATACTAGCTGGAAAAATGCATAGGTTTCAACTTTTACATCAATAGTGGGTAACACTTCTCATGTGCTTGGAGCTGTTCCTAGGTTTAATCCTCACAACAGCCCCTGTTAGTAGGAACTGCAATTAGTCCTACGTCACAATTAGAGAAACTGCACCTCCGACTTCCCCAAGACCTTACGGCTGTGATTGTCAGGCATAGGATGTATATCCAGGAAGCCTCGCTTCAGGGTCCACTTTTAACTATCACCCTACTCACAGATCAGAGGGAGTTTCTCTCGAATTTTGAGCAACACGATGTCCTCATGTATCAGCAGCCAAAAGAACCTTCTATTATTTGTATCGCCCTTCTTAGCTACTGGCTTTTGGAATTACAAAGTGTTCATCTGTATGCCTTTTCCCATTTTATCTAACTCCTTGAGGCATATACAAGATTTGATTTACTTTTCCTCGAAAGCAGTAAATAATTGACACTTTAAATAATTTCCTGTTAAATGAAAGACTACATAATAATAATTAAAAATAATGCGGCATGGCTGGTGCCTGTGGCTCAAAGGAGTAGGGCACCGGCCCCATATGCTGGAAGTGGCAGATTCAAACCCAGCCCCAGCCAAAAACTGCAAAAAAAATTAATAATAATACAGCAAATGAATGTGATGGTGAATCTGGACAGTATAACATACAGTATATGCAAGAACATGGCTGAGGGATTTAGAATGCACACCTTCGAAGTTAAATATGCTCTTCCTTTGAATCTTGCCATTTTCTAGCCATGTAATGGTAGGCAATTTATTTAATCTACCTGAGGCTAGGTTTCCTATTCTATAAAATGGTTATAATTATGTTATTTGCAACATGGTGTCGTGTCGAGAGAATTAAATAGTGTTATGCATGTAAAAGATATCGTGCTGCCCAGAAAATAGTCAAGGAATCAACAACTCTTAGCTATTGTTGTAAAACACTAGCTGTCACATTTGCTGAGTTTGCAAATATGTAGATAGAAAATTATAACCTCTCATGCTGTCAAGCAGTTTACCACCTAAATCCAAACAAGTCATTGCTTTTGATCTTCTCTTTTCAGGGAATAATCTGTATTTAAATAATATAAGAGAATACCACATTACTGAAAACTGATTAATGCTGCTTATGTCTCCAAAGTAGGCAAGAGAGACAGGAATAAGTAAGGAAGAAAAGGTCCTGGCTTGTTGGCGGGTAGCAAAAGCATGTTGCAAATAAGTATAAAAATGTTTTCTACACTAAATTAGTGACTTATATTCGGTTCATAACCCCAAGACTAACTTAAATTATACATAAAGGTACCCTCTTTAAAATGGAGTGACTCATACTTTTATTAGTTACCTAAGTCATTCTTTTTTTTTTTGAGACAGAGTCTCACCATGTCACTCTCAGTAGACTGCTGTGGCTTCACAGCTCACAGAAAATCAAACTCTTGGGCATAAGAGATTCTCTTGCCTCAGCCTCCCAAGTAGCTGGGAATACAGGTGCCCACCACAAGGACCAGCTATTTTTGTTGTTCTTGTAATTGTCATTGTTGTTTGGCAGGCCCAGGCTGGGTTCAAACCCGCCAGCCTGGGTGTATGTGCCCAGCACCCTACCCGCTGAGCTATAGGTGCAGGGCCAACCTAAGTCATTATTGTCAGGGATGTTACCATAGAAGCTGCAGAGAGCTCCCTGAGAGGCACTCTTACTGCACTAAGTGGTTGATGACTAAATAACTACATACATTCTATTGGGTAGCTACCTTACCCAGGGGACCCAGGTAGCTCCAGGAGATACCTGCCCTATATTCTGTTTATTCCACTAGCATAGCACTATGTTAGAGTTCTTCAGAGAGACAACCCATAAGGTGGGTGGATGGGTGGATGGATGGATGAGAGTGGACTCCTTAGGGGAATTGACTCTCATAATTATGAAGGTTAAGAAGTCCCACAATACACCATCTGTAAGGAGAATCAGAGAAGCCAGTAGTGTGGCTCAGTTCAAGTCAGAAGGCCAGAGAGAGAACCAAGGAAAATGAAAGCGTAGCTCTCAGTCCAAGACCAAAAACCTGAGAGGTCCAGGAGGCCACTGATGTAAGCCCTAGAGTCCCAAGGCGGGAGAAGCTGGAGTTCTCGTTTCTAATCCATTCGTTCCTCCCTCAGGGTCGAATCACCTGATGAGGCGGGAGCTCAATTAGACTCCACCTCCCAACTGCTGCACTAGGGATTAAGTTTCCAACATATGTTTTTTGTCAGGCACATTCAAGCCATAACACACTGATTCTTCCACAAAAGACAGTAACACAAGGAGAAAAAAGAAAATGAAAGGACACAAATATCTATCACAAGGTTAGTTGTTACTATATATCCAGGTTACAGTGACGCATTGAAAATCCTCCTCTTCTGAGCAGGGATGGATTAATGAAAAACAGGAGAGCACCAGCTTTGTTCATTTTGAAGTTGGGAAGACCAGAGAACAGGTGATCATGATTCTTTATCCACATACTCTGGTCTAGTTCATTTTTAATGATACGTCTCTAGGGTCAGCCATGAATTCTTGAACTTGACAGCTCAATATAATATTTTGACCTCTTGTCTAGTAACATAAAACAGTTGAAAGGCACATAATATGGTATTATTGTTCTGATGCAGAAAAAAAACTTTAAAAAAAAATTATAACTGTATTATAAAAACAGCCAGAGTTGATTGGTTACAAATCAGCTGTTAAAATGTGCCAATGTTTATATTTTATTACATTTCTATTTTTTTCAATCCCTCTTCCCACCAGGACCTACAGGTAGCCAATTGAAAACAAATGGCCACATGACCCATCTCTGCTATATTGTTTTTAAAAATAGGAGAATTTCGCTCCTTATTGTTTTACATTGACAAGGAAAGTCTTTAAGATTGTATGCCGGCTAATAATTATTATATTATGCAAATATATTCATTAGCCTCTATCCTATCATATTAAAGTGGTTTTGTTATCTGTCTCACAGATTGGACTATTACTAAAGCATAAAGTAGGGTTTGTGTTGTATTCATCTTAGTGCCTTCAAGGTCTACAGCAGTGCTTTATCTATACTGGAAGCTGAATAAATTTTAAGTTGGCAGATAGACTGAAGGACAGATGGATGAATGACTAAATAGCTGAATAGTTAAATAGGAAAGCAGGTTTGCAGTATGTTAGATTAGAGCCATGGATAGCATAGTAATGCTAAGCTATTAATGATACACAAGGTAGCATAGCTGATTTGTTCCTCATATTTCATTTGGAGACTAACTTAACGAATGTATTAACGAAGGAAAGGGCATATAAGCCAATGAATGCATTCATCCCCTTCTCCATAGCTGGAATAGCTTACCAGCTGGCTCAGAACTTCTGCCATAGACATTCTTAAAATCTATTCTCCACACAGCAGTTAGAGTAAGTTTTTTGAAGCCCAGATCTAACCTTGCCCCCGTGCTGGGAAAACATCACCATAAGGATCAAGTCTTTAACTTGGCAACAAAGCCCCTGTGGTCTTACCTCAGTCTCTCAGGCTTCCTGCTGTTACAGTTTTCCTTGATGAGCCGCACGCCCCCTGCTGGCCGGAGGGTCAAGCAGTGTTAGTGCAGTACATTGAACACCTCCCTCCTGCTTCCTCTAGTAAACACCTATTCACTCATCCTTCAGCTCTCAGCTCAGTCATGTGATTCCCTCAGGGAATTCTTTCTCAATTTCCCTTCTGGACAAATTTTACATGCATTTAGATATATGTATACATATTTTTTAATTTGTGTTTCTCTTCCTCATTACATATGTTTCAGGAGAGTAGGGACCACACACATAAATGTTTTGTTTACCCTTGTATTCCAAATACCTACACAGTGCCTACCACGTAGTCAAACATCAGTAAATACTTTTTAATAATACTGACGACATAATAAGGAGAAAAGAAAAAGTATCTTGTTTTATAGTTCAGAAAGTACATTTCATATGCTTTATTTTATTTAATACTATACCAAACCTGCAAAATATGTAGATATTATTATACCTCTCTGTCTTAGTCTGTTTCTGCTGTTATAACAAAATACCTGAGACTAGGTAGTTTATAAATAATAGAAATTTAATTCTTATAGTTCTGGAGCCTGAAAAGTTCAAGATCAAGTCAATGGCAAGTTTGGTATCTGGTGAGGACCCAGTCTCTACTTCCAAGATATTACCTTGTTCTTACTTTCTCTAGAAGAGGCAAACACTGTGTCCTCTAATGGCTACAGGGATAGAAGGGCAAAACGGCCAAGCTGGTTACATCCAGCCCTTTTATAAGGCACAAATCCCATCCATTGTACCCTCATGGTCTAATAACCTCCTAATGGCCTCACATCTTAGTATTGTTGCATCAAGGATGAAATTTTAGCAAGAATTTTGGTGGGAGCACAAACATTTAAACCATAGCACTCTCCAAATATTAATTTCCTAATATAAAAAATTTAGGAATTAATAGCACCATTTTTCTGAGGACTAGTGATATTATATAGGCAAAGCAATTAGGGTAGTACCCAACACATAGAAAGGCTCATTAGATGCCAAGTTTCTAGGACATAACAAGCATTCCATCTTGAATGATGCCTTTCAGATGTGCTTCCATCTAACTCCACCACCACCATCAAGGGGTTAGTATCCATTCATCCTCTCCATCTCCGTGGAAAATCGGGGAAGCCTCCCCTGACCCCCTGGTTTCATTCAGCATTATTATCTGTCTTCCCCATTAGGATTTTACCTAACAATGCCCAATGTCAGTTTCGATGGAGGTAATAGGAGTAGCTGCCATTTATTGCACTCTCCATGACAAATTGCATGAGGCTTGAAGGTGTAGAAGGTCTAGAAGATGGCCCTTTGTTTTCCAGATGGTGTGACTGGTTGACCAGTGGAACCCTTACAGCTTCTTGACTTACACGCCTGAAGTGATGTCACCGTACTTATTGACTTAGATTTTGGTGGCACATAAAATCTTAAAAATCATAGCTGCAATTGCTGTTTTCCAGAGGAGGAAACTAAAGCTCAGCATTGTTAAGTGCCCTATGAGAAAGAATCCCTGTGTGCCATGGGTAACCCTGGTGTTAATGCCACTTTGAAAAATTGTAGTTCCTTTCTCAGACACTCCTAAATGTATTCAAGTTTAACATTCTAAGAGAATACCTGTAAGTCCATTAATTTTTAAAACCAATATGCATTTACTCAAATGATAGGTTTTTCCTCCATTATAGGCAGAAATGATGCACACATGCTCTGACACAGAATGTACAAGTAGGATTTGATCTCTGATAACATGTGAAGGGAAAGTTTGCAAGTAAAAACTTCTTGTGTTTGCTTATTTGTTTTATGGATGCAGACACATCCAGAAATACATACCCTGAAAGAATCTGATATATACATTCAGATCCATTACCAGGGAATAGAAGAATATTATACATGTAACTAATTGTGCTTTCAGCCAGGTGGGATGTAGATATAAATTTGATCTCTTTCTCAAATCATGGCTTCTACTCTGAGTCTGTCTTATTTTCCTGCCTCAGCCTTTAATTAAATCTTAGGTTAGTTCCCCAACTTTTCAGGCCCTTTCAGTTCTCAAAAGTCTCACTTAATTTAAACATGCAATCTCAGATTCAGTTAAATCTCATTTCTTCCCTTCTGTGACTTTGGACATGGGCCAGTTATCCCCATGGGGGAGTTGTTCATGGTCTGGCTCTAGGCAAGCTCTTCCCCCTTTCACCCTCTTCAAGGCTTTAGTCTGCCTGGAGAACAGGGAGAAGGAAAAGGAAAGGAATCCTGCCACCTCCACTGTTTCTCTGGCTATTAACAACCAGCACTTGATGTCTGTGCTTTGAGAGGTGCCCAAGGGCTGGCCATCTAAGGGACATACTTGTCAGCTCTTCAGAAGGCTGAGCAGAGGATGCCTACTGCACTATTCCCTGCTTGGCCAAAGCCCACCCTCCTCCATTGCCACTCAGGAGTTCATTGTGGCTGGTACAGCCCACAGCTTCTTGCCTCTTGATGAAGTATGGAGAGGGAGACGACGATACTATTGCCGCTACCTCTGCCTTGTTGTCCCTCATGGCCTCTGCTCAGATAGACAAGGCAAGATGAGCAAGTCTGTGGAGCAATAGAAAGCGAATCTCCCTTGGTGCACACACAGCCAATCTCTTGTGCCTCTGGGCATCTTCTGCTTGTTCCCTCGGTGTGGTCTCACCCCAACCACTGCACTTTCTTCACGAAGGTTCTCCTTGGTGACTAGGTCACTCTTCCGTCCTAGTCTCACTTAGTCTTGGGAGTAAAGTGGCTCTGCAAACATGCATCCCAAATATATAGGCCTTGCTCTCACAGGGAGAACGTCTTTGCATCTGTAGTCTGCCTCTAAGTGGTAGACGAGAAGTGTCTTCTGGGCAGTCAGTGCCTTCTTTTCCTCCACTTTGGATTTTGGTCACTGTTTCTGAGATAATAGTAAAGTCTTTCTACAGGATTATTATAGTATCCTTACTTTATAGATGAAAAAAATCGAGGCTTAAAGAAGTTGAATAACTTGTCCTTGGACATACAGCAAGAAAATGAAAACCCCATTTCTCTAAGTCATTCAGATTCTAAAGGCACATGGTTAGAATGTCCTCTGTGCCATTTCCAGCTTTTTTTAGAAGATAGCATTATGATCTAGACCTCTACACAAGTAAAAACGCAAACGTACAGACTTAAAGAGTGTTCCTCTGTTTGAGCTAGGCATCCTGACTGGGGACATCTCTGGGCCAACCAGAAACCTCTGTGGCAGAATCCCCAGGGGGTCCTCCCATCAGGACCTTTGGGTGGAGACAACTTGCCAATGGTAACAATTGCTGGGGAGGAAATGTGACATAAAAGTAAGTTACCGAAGGCACAGACAACCCTGCTGTTAATGTAACACCTTAAGTTGATATTTTGGGACATGATGACTCACTGAACCTTCGTAGGGCATCACCTTAGAAGGCTCCAGAGGAAGAAGTAATCACGATGATAACTAATATTTCAGGCCACTTACCGTGAGACCAGAACTGCTCATTGTTTTATATGCATTATGTTGCAACAACCTTTGAAACAGATACTTCTGTTTTCTCATTTAAAATAACCGAGTTTAGAGACGTTATGTAACTTGCAAGGGATCATACTGCTCAAAAAGGTGGTAAAGCATAAAGAGTACTTTTTCTTTAGAAAACCGTTTTGTTTTCTTGTGATTTCTTGTGTACTATTAACAGAAATAACATAGGAATTTTTCCTCTTTTTACAGAGTAACCGAAAACATGGATAAGACTCCAGAAAGGCAAATCCTTTTAAACCTTCAAAGATGGCAATATTGTTTACACCAGTGAGAGGGAGATCAAAAGCTAAGACCTACCCTGTAGCCAGGACTACAACTGTGTATTTTAAAGCCATTATTCAAGGTTTCTTACTTGACAGTTCCTACATGACCCTGTTGAAAATCTACAATATATGCTGCATTTAATGAAACATGTATATGTCAAACCAGAAGAAAAGAACTATAAACATATATTGTGTAAAGAAAAAATTCCAGCAATGGAACCAGTTTCAGCAGAGCAAGCAAAGATGTGTCTTGGGCATGGAACCAAAGTTACAATGAAACATTCAACCCCTGCTGTGCAGGGGGGGTCATTTTAATGTAACACCACACCCCATGGAAACACTAGTTCTGAAAATAAACATCATTTTAAAAGATCAAAACAAAAACATCAAGGGCGGGTGGGGAATGAAGCACGAGGAATACCTATGAGGAGCTATTTACAATAAAATGTTTCCTTTGAAAAGTCTGGTTTCTTACTACAGGGATTTGCTTTTCTGTCTTTATGATTATTTTAAACTCAGGAACAGAGACATCTGCAACGCAATGTGAATGGGAAGAAACACATGCTCCGTTTTGTTTTTCTGCAAAAGGTGGAGCTCATGGAATTCATTCCACAGATGACAGATGAGAAGCGGATCGCAGCAAACCTAACTAAACTGGCAACCCAGTCAAAGCCCCTGGGTGAATGTAAGGTGCGAAATAAAAGCAGATTTGATGCTTGTCCTTCTCTCACATCTGCGTTCCTCCATCAATGGACTGATCTCATTCAGACTGAAAATGAAGACGACGCTGTAAATCCAAGCTCCCTGACTTAGTTCTCTTCACAACATCAACATCTGTAGGGAGCATGGGCCAGAGAGCATCTCTGAACCTTCCAATTTCCAAAATACTAATTTTCAAGTGGCTGCTTAAAGATTGCCTGCAAATGAATATGCTATATGATTTGAGTACAAACACAATAGAGGTGATAAGTAAACTTGTACCAACAGTTGGGTTTGCCGCAGAAATGTGAATATTGAGCTAAATTATGATTATTTTCAGAAGCATCCCGATATGCCTAGAGCATTCTGACTTCTTGTTGTTTCAAGTAATAATATTCTTTCCCACACAGCTGAGAGCAACAAGACAGCTCTACTTTTTTTATATAGAAATAATACGATGGTGCCAGTAAGGTCATTTTCTAACAAAGACAAATGGAAGACTGGTACCTTTCCTAAGTTATGTCTCAGATTCAGCTCTGAGGCAAATATTAATACTTGTTCCTGAAAAGCTAATTTTACACCTCATTCACTGTAGATAACAAAACAACCTCAATTTTTCAAATTTTCAAGATTTTATTTATGTGGCTAGAATTCCCATGCATAGGGAATATCTGTAGGGAGCCAGATACTTTTTCTACAAAATGTAACACAAATCTTTCCATATGTGGGTTCAGTATCTTGTCCTTCAGTTTGGGCACTGGCATTTTCAAAGCCAGAACATAACTGAAGAATGTGCAAGAGAAACTAGAATGCTGGGGTCCCACTTTTTGTTCTTATATTTACTGCTGACCCAGGTATTTTTGCCCCAGTCACTTAACCTCTCTGTGCCTCAGTTTCCTCATCTGCAAAATGGGGTTAAATGCTTTTTCATAAAGTTTTATTTGCAATTTTGGAACAAGAGGTGCTTAACGTAGCACAAAGTGCTTTGTAATTATTACAACTGCTGTATTATTTGACTTTCTTAATGTCAAGGAAAAAATTCCCCTGTGCAGTAAAATAGTGCTTCAGTTTGGTTAAATCTAAGCCCTACTGAAGCTTTCCCATCAACTGACCTGGGACATTATTAGCAATAAAGATTGAGAGATCCAAAGCCAGAATCTCTAATAATCTATAGCAAATAGATCATCTCATGCTATTGAATGAGATAAAGGCATATGTCATTTCAACGATCAGCATCTCCAAGCTATCTCGATGGCATATGCATGTCGTCACACCAAACACCACTTCTATCACAGGAGAACCAACCATGATGTGAAGGCTGGGCGTGAACTGACCATATCTCCTCATCAGCCTGATTATCTTTTCTGTATGTGTTAATGGGGAAAGTTAGGTGATACATCCTACTGTGAAGTTCTGAAACAAACTATCCTCCTAGATTCTTTGCTCATATGAAATATGAGTGGTAGGCTCAGTGTGCAGGCATTGTCAAAGAGGGTGCCGCTACAGCATCTGTGACCCAACCCTAGCAAACTTCAGTCAGAAAATATGGAAGAGGATAAATTATTCTCCCGTATCCTAAGACTTTTCAATTGCTCTTCACTGACTGTTCCAGAGTCCATCTGAGCAAACCCGTTCTACATCTGCTCAACAAAACATACCTTCCTTCTCGTCATCTGGCTTTTCCCACCAAGGAACTTATATTTTAAAATTTATATTTAAAAACTGACTACTTCTAAATGATTAGAAATATTTGCAAGAGGTGGTATGGTTTAATCATATTCCTTACTTGCTATAAATCAGATTGTATTGTACACATACAAAATCAAAAAAGCAACCGTCAAGATGGCCATCTAAGCAGTTTTAGATGTGTGTAAGACAAATACAAAAGGAAGAATTTATTTTTTCTCCTTGCTTAAGGTCTAGGAGATTAATAAATTTCTCTGTATTGCAGGGTAAACTAATATTTCCACAGGTCTTCCTCGTCATCCTTAAACTTATCGCTGGGTAAGTCTGAGTGTTCTGACAGGTATGTTTCTCTGTTATTCATTTTCACAATTATAAAAGCATAAGCAAAATTGTGGATGGAAGTTCCACTCACTCATGGATCCATGGAAATGGACCATCTCTAAATGAATGCTTCTTTTAGGATGTTCAACAAAAAAGAAAAGAAGTCTCAAAATAATGAAGAGGTCTCATGCGGCTCCATTTCTTAAAAAGAGCAGATAAGTCCCACTCTGATCCTTAAATTCTCCATCTGTACTATCCTAACACATTTGGCCAATGAATTAGCAACAATCAGAACAGCATTCTTCAGGATTCATTTAATTTTTCTTAACAAAATATTCATCCCTTCAAAAATAAAGATAACAAAGGCAGTTTGAGATAAATAAAAGCCCCAATTTACGTAGCTATTCAGGGCACAAGAATTTCCAGGAGAAGGAGAAAACGGACAGGCTATGTTTGACTTACCATACTAAAAAAGATGTATCACTGAATTGACTGTCAAATTTTTATTTTTAATGCCACTCAACTTTTATTTTAGGAAGTAAAAGGATTTGTTGGAAAAATTCAGATCCCTTATTAACTCATGTCATGTAAATTATGTTATTGCCAAGAGTTTGCTTTGATGTTTTTTTCAGTCCCCCAAATAACTGCTTTGCAGCTAGTGTGGGTCTTCCCAACTCCATAAGACAGAGTCAACATGGAGGGCACGGGTCATCAGTGAAACAGAGAGGGGACATGGTGTTCCCCGCTAAGTAATAGAAGAAATAAAGTTTGCCAAATAATTTTTACTACAGTATTTTATTTCAACTTACCTTGATTGTTTTCAGTTTTAAATAAATCTCTGGCAAACGCGTTCTCTTTTGCCTATTTATTGTCTTTTTCTGTATGTAAACCCATTGTATAAGTCATATGTTCACTGTCTTCAATGTCATTCATAAGTTTGCTGTTTTAAAATGATGCAAATCTTTTTAACCTGCCTAGGTTTTCATGGAAACTAAAAGAATGTTCTTTGGGTTTGTGCTGATGTTTACACAAGTGGATCATCTGTGTTATGTTACATCAAAGTAGGTGACTAGTATAGACATTTTATTTTAAAAATGTTTCATTGCATTCTTTATATCTGTCAAAAGGTGGGTGGCACAGAATACAAACACACATGCATGTGCACACACACGCAAACGTGCACAGGGCAGAATCCGAACTTGCTGTATAGTCTGCGGGTTGCATTGCATGTCGCCCTCTGCGAAATTTTCACAACAAAGCTTTTGGTAATTTAATCATAGATTTTGGCAGTTTAATCCTATCACTTTAGTAATTTAGACTTAGCTACTATATTTTTAAAATCCAATATAACTTTTGAATGATAAGTAATCAAAACAACTCTTAGATGACTTTATGTTATGAGTTAATGCTTCAGGATGGACCCAAGCCCCTCTTTAAGAGGACTTCTTAGGTCTTAGAGGAGGAAAGCTGTCATCTCATTTCCATGTACTGTCTTGAGACTGAATTTCAGACATATTGGCAAGAGGATTCAGACAGAACGGAAGGTTGGAGTTAATTCTAGTACAGCTGCTTCAAGTGCCAAAGTCTATGATTTTGTTTCAGAACTGGGAAGAGCAGATTAACATTCCTTTACTGTCTAGTTTGGCCATTTAATTCTTACTAAATAAATCTTTTATTGTTAAGAGTCCAAGTCCAATGTTTAATCAAAATTACTAAATATATACTTAAAGGGGCAACATAGCAAAAACAGGATTGTAATTTGATATATTCAACCTAGTGTAGCAAACTCAGAGGTACAGGTGGCTGATGTGGTGAGGTTTCCTGCTTCCGGTTTTGGTTTCCTCTGCATTGAGGAGAAGAAACTTATGTTTATATTTCTATCCTTATAAGATGCAAAGTTCTACAGGCTGGAATAGTGTCCAATTGGGTCCAATTTTAGAGTCAACACTCCACAGACTTCGTAAAGAGTGGATGGTGCAATTTCCCAGCCAAAAGCAGATTCCCAGAATTCTTCAATAACAACAGCCACTTCTATTGACTGATACCTCTGACTGTGTCTAATCCCCCATTTACCATAACAACTTCCCCCAGTGAGGCAGATCAAAACCCAAACATTTTTATAAATACGTGATGTACATAGATGCACATACATACTCTGTACATACTATGATGGTTTGAGCACTTACGAGATGCGTGCTTCTGTCCCAGAATGGAGGACTGAAAGAGGATTTGTTTTTTCTGAAGATGCTGGGAACTCATACTTCTGTTTAGCGTCTCCTGTCTGCACTCTTCCACTCTTGCCATTTCCTGCTGTTGACCGAGACAGAGACTACTCACTGGTTTTTCAATTACTCAAGCCCACAAACCAGCAAATGGTTTGTTTTTGTTTGGTTGGCCTGTTGACTTTTTTTTTTTTTTTTTTTTTTTGGTAAGAGCAAGAGAAAGTTCAGCACAATCCACAGTATTAATTTTAGCCAAAAGGCCCATTATCTTTATCAGCTAAAAGTTCCATTCCAAGAAGGGTCCATGCATGTTTTAACGTTCAAGATACAGTTCTATGTGGACTCAAGGTTAATTCCATAGGTGTCTGGGGTCCAATTTCTCAGAGCTTTCATCCAACCAACTGCCTCAGTTAGTTGTTTCCATCCATCTCATGAGCAAGACTCTGCATACTGATTCAGTGCTGGTTTACTACTGAAAGACGAATACTACATAAATTGACTGAGTTTCACCAGAATGATCCTCTGAAGTACACCAAACATGCACATGTACTGTATGTATTACCACAGAGATTGAAATCAACTTACCGTATGTAAAGTTTTATGAATGGTTATCTTCTAAGTTATGTATTTAACATAGGAATCCATGAACTGTGGTGTTTTAGTTTATACAAAAATAAAACAAGCTGCACTTTTTATAAATTTTATTTTGCATTGTTCATAGGACTTTGTTAAAGTAAACTCTTATCTACTTTTGAAAAACAGGGTAAAGAAAATCTGTATCAGTATAATGTCAGGAAATAAACTCAACATCAAGGGCAGTACATCAACTTCCTCTTATCTCACTACTTAGAATTTTTATTACGCCTGCCGTGAATACTGTGATGTGGAGTCCAACATAGAATTTATGATTATGGAGAAAGAACTATGACCATTCACATAGCTGTTCTGAGCATAGTTGGGGAAAGAATCTTGCCAGCTATTTCCCATTCTCATTCTAGATGTGAATTCTCTTAGTCTATCCACTTACCTTTTTTCTCTGCCTTGTAAACCACTTGATGTGACAAATTAACAGGTGTATGTTACGTGAGCATCTGTGGTGTACCCATCCCTGTGGCTTGGCATGTTTGGGTCCACCCTCAAAGAGCTAACAGTTGAATGTGAGAAATGGATATCTTTGTACCCATGAAACAAATAAAGAACCCAAACAACACAATAGGAGATAAAAATTTAGTAGGTCCCTATAAAGAACCATTTGGGAGTGGGCTCCAAAAGATCCATCCTAAGATGTTTTTTTCTATAAATTTTAACTTCTTTATCTTTTCTACTAAAAAAAAAAAAGTCACTTATCAGTTCATTACAATGATCTATCACTTATTTATAAGAACATATGAGTGCCAGAAACTATATCAAAGCTTAAATACAGAGAATAAAATTTAGCCCCAGCCCACAAGATATCACAATTTATGTTATCTGATGATAGAATGATAGTTATGCAGGCTTCGGGGCATATTCCTGCTTTGGATTTTGCTTTGAGTCTCTATGAGAAAGATACTTAGCCTATCAGTATGCCAAGAAATAGCCAGTTATTATTACAGACTCTGTCTAATTTTATAAATGAAAACCTTTTTTTATTAATTCCACTTTTAGTATAGAATTCAAATGCATTACTATGTCAACAACTCAAATGACCTCTTCTAGCACCAGAGGAAAGCACTCCAACATCTTCTGGGGATGTTGAAGGGGTGGGTAACACTATCTAGCATGGTGCCAGTGGGACTAGACAACCTTCATATGGCATAAGGCCCATCCCAGTCCACAGACTGGAGACACAGCCCTGCCTCTGACCTCTAGGCAAGCAAGTGCAGTACAGAGGTGCAGGTGTGTTGTCAGCTTCCTACCTGTCGCACGGGCAAAGACTAATGCCAAAAGGCCCTAAAGAAAGCTCCTTTTATTTAAGCATCTTTGTAGCTACATACAGAAGGTAAGTGTGAATTGTGAAGGCATTTATTTTCATTGAAAACACCGTAAAGAGAAATCTGTTCTTAACCAATACATTCTGGTGCATACATGCATACTTATAAATATGAAGTTATTTGTTTTTATCAAAAGGCTCTATAACAACTAGTCATTGGTCACCTGTGCATAGGTCCAAGTTCTCAAGTCCATGGACTGCATGAACCTAATTCAGATGTTTATATATTGGAGTATAGAGG